TTACCGTCAGATCCTCGAATTGCTTGATAGTCGTCAATTCCTAGCCCCACACATTCGTAGTGGAACATTTTCATGCACATGCCATCACACTGAGTACCCGGATAACTTTTATTTATCGTTTTATTACACTCGCTACATGGATTGCGAACTGATCTCGACGCCATCTTGAACCGGAAAAGAGATTTTAGGTATTTGAAAAATAATACTAACAAGACAAAGACTGTATAATCAGTAGACATAGTTAACAACAAAAATATTTAACTATAAATACACATAACATGAGTCATAACACATGGAATATTCACAAAAATTACACACACTTAATAAGCACCGTCTACAAGCTGAACTTTAGTCACAAACGCATACACACATAGGCCAAAAATCGTGTAACACAAGTAACCAAATTAAACGATGTAATCATAAACAATAACTCGTCCCATAGTTATATAACCGAACAGTAAAGCAAAAATCACAAAAATAATCCTAAAAAAATAGGAACAAAATTTCGTTGGGACACTAGTGATCAGAGTCACCAACATGAACTAGACACAAAATAAGACCTTCAAAATTTACAAGAAAGTCAAATACCCACGCCGCAGCAAACCTGCCGACTAAGCGAATTTCCATTTGTTTGAATTGATTTTCAGTTAAATATTTTAATAACATTTTAGGTTTAACGAGTACCTAGGTTTGCTGCTACAAGGAAACTAAAAAAGTGTGTTTTTGTGTAAAATATTGATAGCTTAGTACAAAATAAATAAATTTGCCAAGTTTGATTAAAATATATTCATAAACAAGCAAACTACAACATTAGACAATAGGCCTATTCTCCATAAGAATAACATGGGAATTTTAAATTTACTATTTTTTTAATTTTCTTTGTTACTAATAATCGAACAAAAATACTTTTATATACTAAATTATTTGTTTTTTTAAGCTCTTTAAAAATGTCTAAAGAGAAATTGGGAAATTTTGTGTTTTAAGGGTCAAAAGTGAGAAAAACCAATTTTTACCCCATAAAACCCCCCGTAAAGCCCCGTTTCCATGGTCCGATCGTGCTGGTTCGCGAATTCATTCAAGTTTATCCCGCTTTACACCTTCAAACCAAATTTCATCAAAATCGGACAAAAATTACTCAAGTTATTGCGTTCACGGACGTATATATATATATATATATATATATATATATACATATATAAAAATTTGAACGAATAGTGTTTTTGGCCTCTGGGGACATCAAAATGAAAAAGTAAATCGGTCCCGGGTCTAGGTCTTACCGTGCCACCTACGCTAATAGCTACTTCCCTATAGGGAAATTCGCTAAAAGCCCACTTTTGTTGGTTAGTTTATGGTTGTATTTACCAGTAAAAATTATTCTGCTGAGTCTGACAAAATTGGCTTATATCTTTAGTTAGGCTTAGTAGCCGAGATTAATTTTTACTAACTAAAATAATAAACTTTAAAAAATCTGGCTCCAAATTAATATGGGGATGGAATGCCTAGTTAATAGTCAAAGCTATTATGTTCTTAATAAAAGTATGAATCTATATAAATAAAATTAGAGTTAGTCTGTACATTGCTCAGAATCATACATTTTTAGGTTATTTTGACGGTTTATACATTAAAGAAGCCGAAACAAGTCTCATCTAAATTTCTGTCCGTCTGTAACACTCAAGATGGCATTTTACGTAATCTTCTCCAGGAAAACGAGAGTACCCATCAAGATCCAAGTCATTTTAATGTATTCACTGGATTGGCGAGAGTGTCTTTAGCCATTAAAATATGGCCTCACTACTTTGTAAATAAAATTACGGACGTTCAAAAATGCAGTTTTGTGCGATTTTTGTCAAGTTTTCGTCCAATTTTTATCACATAATCATCTATGAAATAACGAACAGCTGTTCGGATCAAGATTATTTTTTCTAGCTGTCACTGATATGCCACTCATTGACGGCGCTTCAGTGGCGGTTGTGTAAAGTGTAAAGTAAAAAATCACAACTGCAGTGGGTGATTGTAACAGAGGTTTACGGATGATGCTAAACTCGATTTTCCAAAGTGTCACTTTCTATTCCTAACATTGACTATACATAGTCAATAGTTAATAGTTCCTACTCACCGTGTGATGCAATCGCTGGATCATACAGCCAATAGGCCCATAGCCCATCTCTTGGGTACGTACCCTTACCCAATTATTTATAACAACCTTTTCGACGATGATCCTTGATACCGGTACTTTTCCCTAGAATACACGGCCTACCTAGGTACTTAAGAAATAAAATTACAAACGTCCAAAAACCCAACGTTGTGTGATTTTTGTCACATTTCCTTCTAATGTTAATAGATATACCAAATATAAAGTCAATGATACCAATCATTGTTTAGAGAATACGTAATCTATTAAATAACAGAAAGTTGTTGTATAAGGTTGTTTTTTTTCAAACTGACACCGACAAGTTTACAGTTGTTTACAAATAAAGCAATTAATGGGAAATAAACTTTGATTGGCGATAACTTTTTACGAGAAAATCCAAAACCAATAGATCAATAACCTTGATTAACGCATATAATTGGTCGGATGTACTATAGTTCTTAACTGTAAACGTTGGTTTTTGGTACGGTACTGGTTCTTTTCCTTTGAACCGTTGGTAGCAGCAAGAATCATTTTTACGTACCAACACATCACTGTAATTTAGGCCTACAAATTAGTTATCGTTGGTGTTGCACCTTATTTATTACAGGCGTATTCAATTTTATTGGTGTCTTAACTGTATAAGATTTGCTTTTTCTGTCTGGATTCCAAAATGTTAGTTTACGCTAAGGAAACGATAACGCATTTTAGTAGAACATTTATTCGGCAAACCATCATGAATTATTCAAACGCTTTGTGTATGTAATGTTGTTTATGTATCAATAGTTCGTGGCCTATTTTGGTAATTTTTATTATAAATTACCAAACTAAATCGTCTATAGTACTGTACTTCATTTCATAAAGCAAACCGATTCATATAGCATTTCGACAGAATTTCGGGTCATCTTCGGTCCAAGGAAATATAAATTGTTATGATAAAATTTTATGACATTAACAAATATTTGAAATACTAATTTTATATGTACTTTGTTATTCTTAAAGCGTAGCAAATTCCCTAATTAAGTTCTGTATTTTTGTGTGTATGTCTGTTGGTAACTCATTAATGTCCTTATTTCACAGTGTTTCACGGAAAGGACAAGAGCACCTTGATAATGAAAATGTCAACCCGAATAAAGTGTTAAATTGTGAGGTTGAGGTAGTACCTTAAATACTTTTAACCATTGTGGAAAGTAACTTTCAATTATAGGCTTACCTTAGGGCTATGCCTTATAGATCTATAAAGCATTTTTTAGTTTAATCATTGGATTTAACATATGGACCAACAAGATCTGGGTGACATTTAATTGCAAATCATTAGTTTTGGCATAGATAAAACATACTCCCTTAGTAGATTTCTCATCCTTATGGAACAGCTGAAGACAATTTTATTGTTAGTTCATGTACGGTTTATGTAGAGGTCGTGTTTTGTTTACAATTTGTTTCCCGTTATTACAGCCATTTAAAACCTCGTTTAACCAAATAATACGATCTAATCATAAACAATAACTTGTCCCCTAGCTATATAACCAAACAGTAAAGCACAAATCAAGAAATTAACCCTAAAATAATGGAAACAAAGTTTCATCGACACTAGCGCCTTTGTGTCACGTACATGAACTAGACACGAAAAACGTGCTTCAAAATTTCAAAATTTGTGCTGAGTAATCGGCTGATATGAAAGAACATCACTCTGTCGTTGTCTGCTATCCACAACACAAGTCACTGCGCAGACGATGTATTACACTACAACAACATATCAACTAACAATAGGCTACATACAGTAGGTTGTATGCCTTTATATATAAACAACAAGATACAAACAGTTGTTAAACACAGTTCACAGTTCTCTAGTTTGGAAAATGTAAACAAAACATTGCTAAGAACATTTGATAATTTCTAAGAAGTAACAACATTTTCTTGTAATTTGCGAAAGAGCCGGGGGCCCTCCGCGATCGCCGACCTAGCCAGTCCGGGCCTGAACTCTCTAGGATATAATCTTGAAAACTTCAAAATGTCAGTTTAGATATTAGGTTATTTAACTGAGAACTGAGTAGGCCTGATATGTAGAGCCATTCAGCGTGTATTGTGCAACTCTAGCTGTGATGTTTGTATGTCCAGGCTCCGTAACTGCCCTGGGTGTGGCTGGACCTCATGGAGATGATTGTACGACTTTGCTACTGCTTGTTAGAGGATGTCTTTCCCCACCACAACGGAGGATAAGACTCCTCTGATCTTGTGAGTAGCACTTTTATTCTATTAGCACTATTATTATTAATGTGTGTTGAAGTTAAAATGAATGTATTTCATAATCAGTCTAAGACTATTTTTGGACTGAATGTAACTCTAATTGACTCACTCATGTTCTCCAGTTAACACACAGTGTGGGATAAAGTGGTATCTGGGTAGAGCAGTGTAGGGTACAGTGGCTACTGGATAGAGTAGCATGATACAGGATACAGGTAGCATAGAAATGCTGCAAAATGACACCTCTTTAATCTTTTCTTTTCAGCATAGTTATGAGAAGTGAGTAGGATATTTACCTGAATAATGAGTTGGATTTTACTGTTTTCGAAAACATAAAGCAAATGGAATTTAAAAAATTATTTTATGTGGGCCTATTAATTTGAATTTTTTTTAGACTATGGGGTTTATCAGTATACATAATATTACTTAGAGCAGTATTATTTAAGCCCTGCACCGTAAGTGTTAGCGGACAGCGAATCCCGCCAAGCAGTCAGCTGTGACATAGCCTTTTAAGTCAAGTGTGTACAAACATACTACCTTACTGGCAAATTTAAACTAACTCTCCTGTATTTAACTTAAAATAACCTCATCCACGATTAGGTTTAGTCAGAACAACTGTTTAGGTTAATATCATATTTTATTTACACCAGTGTTATACAATTGGTGACCACACGGTTGCAAGACAATTGTAGGGTCATATATGGAGATGACAAATCAGTTGGGTGAATCCTGGATGTCGTTAAGTAGTCCAACTGCTCCGATGTTTGTCCAAGTTTCCCTTTCAGTGTCTCACAGAGTTCCGACCATAGTTCTCTCACTCGCTCCCCATTTGTGTGGTTCTGTAACATTTTCCTGGTAACCGGAATAACATCTACGGAAGCCAAGGAAAAAGAGGTGTCATCGTTCATAGCCTGAAACAGTACAGGAGGTATTTAACAGTTAGCTAAGTAGGCCTGATATGTAGAGCAATTCAGCGTGTATTGTACAACTACAGCTGTGATGTATGTCCAGGGTTTCTCCAGGGTAGCTTTTGCCTACCCCGGATGCTGCTGGGATTCTCAGTTCTGCTGGACAACATCTGGATTGTACGACTTTGTTACTACTTCTTAGAGGATGTTTTTCTCCACCAGAATGGAGGATTTACAATTCTCAAGACTCCTAAGATCTTGTGAGTGGCCCTTATAATCACAGTCATTAATTAATGTGTGTTAATATGGTTTGGAGGGTACAGGGTCTACGGGGTAGGGTATATATGGTTAGGGTGGGGTATGCGTACGGAGCAGGGTGGCTAGTGACCTGGAAAACCTGGAAATGTCAGGGAATATTAAATATCTGGAAAAGTCATGGAATTTTGTTATAAGTCAGGGAAAATTGTAAAATTTTTAAAATAATTTTAATAATTGTCAGGAAAGGTCGATCTGGTAATAGTACGTATGCCGTATGGGTGAAAACTAAGATTTATGTCTGTAAAAAAAATTTTGTGTTTTTGTACAAATCAAATTTGGTTTAAACTGTGTATCATCTTATCAAACTCTAATTTTAAAGGCAAGTTGCAAAGTTTGAATATAAGCTAGCCTGTATCTATAGATTTTATGTATTTTTTCGTGTAAACAAACATAAGATATTCTTCAGATAAAGATTAGTCCTTTTGAAGAATTAGTTACCGGTAGTATTAAAATTGTAATTTTGAATTTGTCGATCAGGTAAAGTTTAAAAAAAACATGGAATTGTCAGGGAAAAGTCAGGGAATTTTTCAATGTGATTTCACTAGCCACCCTGACGGAGGTTATGAGGTAAGGGAAGCACATGGTACAGAGATTTTGGGTAAGGTAGCATAGGGTACAGAGTTTACGGGGTAGGGTAGCATAGGGTACAGAGTTTACGGGATAGGGTAGCATAGTGTACAGAGGTTACGGGGTAGGGTAGCATAGGGTACAGAGTTTACGGGATAGGGTAGCATAGTGTACAGAGGTTACAGGGTAGGGTAGCATAGGGGGGTGCACGGCTACTGGCAGGTAAGTTTGGAGTGCAGGGCCTCTGAAAGGCTAGGTTGGGGTGCACGGCTACTGGCAGGGTAGTTTAGAGTGCAGGGTGAAGGGCTACTGGTAGGACTGTGTTGGGTGCAGGGCTACTGGTAGGGTAGTGTCGAGTGCAGGACTACTGACAGGGTAGTGTTTGGTGTAGGACTACTGACAGGGTAGTGTTAGGTGCAGGGCTACTGGCAGGGTAGTGTTAGGTGCAGGGCTACTGGCAGGGTAGTGTTAGGTGCAGGGCTACTGACAGGGTAGTGTTAGGTGCAGGGCTACTGGCAGGGTAGTGTTAGGTGCAGGGCTACTGACAGGGTAGTGTTAGGTGCAGGGCTACTGGCAGGGTAGTGTTAGGTGCAGGGCTACTGGTAGGGTAGTGTCGAGTGCAGGACTACTGGCAGGGTAGTGTTAGGTGTAGGACTACTGACAGGGTAGTGTTAGGTGCAGGGCTACTGACAGGGTAGTGTTAGGTGCAGGGCTACTGGCAGGGTAGTGTTAGGTGCAGGGCTACTGGCAGGGTAGTGTTGGGTGCAGGGCTACTGGCAGGGTAGTGTTAGGTGCAGGGCTACTGGCAGGGTAGTTTAGAGTGCAGGGTGAAGGGCTACTGGTAGGACTGTGTTGGGTGCAGGGCTACAGGTAGGGTAGTGTCGAGTGCAGGGCTACTGGCAGGGTAGTGTTGGGTGTAGGACTACTGACAGGGTAGTGTTAGGTGCAGGGCTACTGGCAGGGTAGTGTTAGGTGCAGGGCTACTGGCAGGGTAGTGTTAGGTGCAGGGCTACTGGCAGGGTAGTGTTGGGTGTAGGACTACTGACAGGGTAGTGTTTGGTGTAGGACTACTGACAGGGTAGTGTTAGGTGCAGGGCTACTGGCTGGGTAGTGTTAGGTGCAGGGCTACTGGCAGGGTAGTGTTAGGTGCAGGGCTACTGGCAGGGTAGTGTTAGGTGCAGGGCTACTGGCAGGGTAGTGTTAGGTGCAGGGCTACTGGCAGGGTAGTGTTGGGTGTAGGGCTACTGGCAGGGTAGTGTTAGGTGCAGGGCTACTGGCAGGGTAGTGTTAGGTGCAGGGCTACTGGCAGGGTAGTGTTAGGTGCAGGGCTACTGGTAGGGTAGTGTCGAGTGCAGGGCTACTGGCAGGGTAGTGTTGGGTGTAGGACTACTGACAGGGTAGTGTTAGGTGCAGGACTACTGGCAGGGTAGTGTTAGGTGCAGGGCTACTGGCAGGGTAGTGTTAGGTGCAGGGCTACTGGCAGGGTAGTGTTAGGTGCAGGGCTACTGGCAGGGTAGTGTTGGGTGTAGGACTACTGACAGGGTAGTGTTAGGTGCAGGGCTACTGGCTGGGTAGTGTTAGGTGCAGGGATACTGGTAGGGCAGTGTTGGGTGCAGGTCTACTTGCATGGTAGTGTAGGGTAACGGAGCTTATAAAGGGGTAGTGTTGTGTTCGAAGGCTAGGGGTTAGGGCAGTTCAGGCTGCAGGGTACGGTAGCATAGGGTACAGGGGCTGCAGGGTAGGGTAGCATATGGTACAAGCTGCAAGGTGCGTTTTTGGCATAGGGTACAGGGGCTGCAGGGTAGTGAAGCATAGGGTACTGGGGCTGTAGGGTAGTGAAGCATAGGGTACAGGGGCTGCAGGGTAGTGAAGCATAGGGTACAAGGGTTGTAGGGTAATGAAGCATAGGGTACAAGCTGCAGGGTACGGTAGCATAGGGTACAGGGGCTGCAGGGTAGGGTAGCATAGGGTACAAGCTGCAAGGTGCGTTTTTGGCATAGGGTACAGGGGCTGCAGGGTAGGGTAGTGTAAGGTACTGGGAAGGGGTACAGGGATATGGGCTGGTGTGGGTCTCTCCACCTTCAAGAACTACCTAGTCAATACCACTCGCGCAAGCTCTTTAGAACGCGAGGTGAACCAGGAGGTTCCTCAAGGATCTGTGCTGGGTCTCCTTCTATTCCTGGTCCCCATCAACGACATCGAAGGGATTTAGCTACAACCCAGGTCCAAGAAGCCAAAGCGAGGTTTAAGATGAAGAATCTGCAAGAGACAAAAACCCAGAGACTCAGGTCCAAGAAGCCAAGGTTTAAGATGAACAAGATGCAACTGAATGGAGACAAAAACCCAGAGACTCCTTTGACCCCTCTCAAGAGACTCCTCCGATGACACAAAGCTCCTTGGTTTCCAGCTGGACAGCCGATTAGGCTTGAACCACCACATTGCCCATTTTGCCTTTGGTTGAGTGAACTGACTTCTGAGACTTCTATCTGATGATGATATACCATGCCCACATTGCATACGGACTGGATACCGAAGTAGAGGAAGTATTGGAGCTTCGAGAAGTGGCAATGCATCATCTCAATGAGCCCTTTTTAGAGAACACTGCAAACGGATTTTCAAGATTTGGGATTTTAACCTTCTGCAGCCACTACACTACGCCTGCACGATTGAAATCAAATGCAGTGTTCCACTTCTTAATACAAGAAGTCATATCCATGCTCATAACACCAGTGCTAGGCAGAATCTTGATGTACCCCGGGCAAGACTGAGCAGAACTCCTTCCCCACATCTACCATCAAGTTTTCAATCGACTCCCTTCCAGCATTCCATGTCTAGACGACCAGAAGTTCAAGACTGCTGTGGAATACTTGAAGAAAATACCATACTACAACGTTACTGACTTCTTTGAAGATAATCTGGATCCAGACAGTTAAACTTTTGTACCGTCTGCTAGCTGCCCGCTCCAGATTATCTAGAAGTCAGTAACCTTGTAGTATGGTCTTTTCATCAAGTCTTTCACAGCAGTCTTGAACTTCTGGTCGTCCGAATGCTGGAAGGGAGTCGATTGAAAAGCTTGATGGCAAATGTGGGGAAGGAGTTCTGCTCAGTCTTGCCCAGGGTACATCAAGATTCTGCCTAGCACTGGTGTAATGAGCATAGATCTTGTATTAAGAAGTGGAACACTGCATTTGATTTCAATCGGGCAGGTGTAGTGTAGTGGCTGCAGAAGGTTAAAATCCCAAGTCTTGAAAGTCGGTTTGCAGCTTTCTTTAAAAGGGCTCCGTGAAATGGAACGTGCCACTATTTGAAGCTTTTTATACTTCAGTGCTGGGATGCAGGTTAGGACAGCCTAGAGCATTGGCTGCAGCGTAGGGTACAAGGTCCGCTGCTGGGTTGCCTTCCCCTACACCATACCATACCCTACGCTGAAGCCCATGCACCCTAGGCTACTCTGCCCTGCTGCCCCAGCACTCCCAATGGAGTTCGTTCTTCGTCCTAAGAACCCTACCCTTCTTCCTAAGTATCCTACACTACCCTTCTAACCCAGTACCCTAGCCTACCCTTATAACCCAGTACCCTACCCTTCTATCCCAGTACCCTACCCTACCCTTCTAACCCAGTACCCTAGCCTACCCTTCTAACCCAGTACCCTAGCCTACCCTTATAACCCAGTACCCTACCCTTCTATCCCAGTACCCTACCCTACCCTTCTAACCCAGTACCCTAGCCTACCCTTCTAACCCAGTACCCTACCCTACCCTTCTAACCCAGTACCCTACCCAGTAGCCCCTGCACCCTAGCCTACCCTACCCAGTAGCCCCTAGGGTTGCTAGGGTAGCTTAGGGTAATGTGGATGCTGGGTATGGTAGACTAGGCCCCTCGCCACCCTCCCATTGGCCCCAGTACCCAGCCCTCCTATCCTGCGGCTAGTCAGACCAGGCTACCCTACGCTGCAGCCCTGGGTAACTGTGGATGCTGGGTAGGGTAGCTGGTACTGGGGATGCAGGGTAGGGTAGCCTAGGGTACTGTGGATGCAGGGTAGGGTAGCCTAGGGTACTGTGGATGCTGGGTAGGGTAGCCTAGGGTACTGTGGATGCTGGGTACAGTAGACTAGGCCA